TCAGAAGACCCCCTCAGAATATCCCGGCTCGCTCTTTTTTCCCCCCCAAATTCATAGCCAAACGGACGTCTCACATCGGTCCCCGTTGAATGTGGCTTGCATCTGCGGAAGGGAGGCTGGATCCCACAGCCAGAATTGAAGTTGGATAAAACAGATTGGAAGGGACCTTGGAGGTCTTCTAGTCCAACCCCCCCCCCCCCTTGCTCAAGGCAGGAGACCTTATAACCATCCAGGTAAAATTATTGTCCGGTCTGTTTTTGTTTTGTTTTTTAAACCTCCAGGGATGGAGCACCGGCAACTCCGAGAGGTCAAATTTGCAGGATCGGCCTTCTGCTTTAAGCTGCTGCGTCCTGCTCTCAGGAAATCCAAGGCAGGGAAAGGAATTCCATTTCTTGTCGCTCAGGTTGAAGCTCCTTCTGGCGGAGCCTGCAGCCTTCCCTTTTTTTTGGGGGGGGGGGGGAGAGGGAGTGGACCTCTCAGGGATGTCTTCTGATGGAGCAGCGGCCCTTGGCGCTGGACTGCTGCTTCTCCTCCTCTTCCTCTGAGTTTCTCCTGGTTCTGCTTCTGAACTTCCCTGTCCACGAGAGCCCATTAAGTCTCTTTCTCTCTGCCCCTCCCCTCCTCTCCTCCCCTTTCAACATTTCATTTGAGGAACGAAAGAGAGCGAGGAGCAGGTGGGACGGCCTGGCTAGCAAATTTGGGCTGGCTTCAGAGGAAAAAAGGATGCAAGGGCTAGCGGTGTGGGGGGAGTGGGAAATTCACATTTCTCGCGCTGCTGGTTGAGTTTCGGATACGTTGGGTGTTGCAAGTTGTAAAAAAAGAAAACCACGATTGTATTGTTAAAAAGGAAAAAAAAAGCGGTTCAGCTGTAGCTTTTTCAGTCAATCCAAAGGAAGGCCTTCCTTTGAAAGCTGGAGTTCACTGTATTGCAGGGGTCTCCAACCTTGGGCCACTTTAAAAAGGCTTGTGGACTTCAACTCCCAGAATACCCAGCTGGGGAATTCTGGGAGTTGAAGTCCACAAGTCTTTACAGTGGCCAAAGGTTGGAGGCCCCTGCTGTGTTTGCATGCTTCAGAGGCATCCAGCCACATGGCTGCTGTCCTGGTCTGTGCAGCTAAGAGCGCCTGGAGCATGGTGGGGTGTGTGTGTGTGTGTGTGTGTGCATCATTGTGGAGGTTTTCATTCCTCCTCTTTTCCTTACCCTGCTGGAGAGCGATGAGAGAGAGAGAGAGAGAGGAGGTGGGATTCTCCCCAGGAACAGTCAAAAAATGCAAAGAAAACTTTAAAAAAAAAAACCCAAAACTTTAGGCAATCCTGGTGGGCCGGGTTGGGTTCCAAAAACGGTCCAGTCGAAGCCCTGTCCATTTTTACGCGGGTCTCTCTGCAAAGAAACCCCCGAGCGTCCGTTCTCCTATGGCAACGTCCAGCTTGACATTTTGGGGTGGACCCTAC